GGATTTAATGAGATTTTCATAGAAAATATGATCTCCAAGTGGCGCCAAAACACCACGCCGCACTTGCAAAGCGATGGGCGGAGCGTCGGTGGGGTGAGGTGGGAATCAAAGTACGCAAACACCGAGTCTCACTTTTTTTATTCCGACAATACTACCAAAACTCGATGCTATCAAAATTTTTCAAGGAGTGATGTATGTAGATCAAATAAAATATATTTCAGACCTGAATTCCATAATTACAAAGTTTGTTTCATTTTTTGATAGATCAAAAGTTCAAAAAGTCAATATTTCTGTTTTTTTTCTTTGTTAGCTTCTCATCCGATTTTATCATCATTTTATCAGTTTTTGTTTTTATTTGCCAATAAACTTGTGGGCGAGAAATAGGTAGTTTGCACAACGGGACTGGACTTTTTCAGGTACGTTTTTATTTGCTCGTGAGTAAAGAATTATTTTCAGCATAACGGGAAAATGGATATGAGTAGAAATGGAAAACCAAAAAACGAGAATAGAAGTTAGAAGGAGATCGCTTGGAGCTAGAAAGATAGACAAGTTGACAAGGGGCTATTAAGCTCGATTTGGATGGATGGGATTTGCTGGAGGAACTTGCTCATTGTGAACGAATCTGAAACAGTTTAGTGTGAGTTTTCAGTCACCAGAATTTTAGAATTTTAGAATTTTGAAAAACTTCAAAACTTTCTGTCAATTCATTCCAAAAACTTACCGGATCTGGAACAGCAAGCCGTTCCTGGTGAGAAAGGAGGTTCCGATTGTCACAACTGCAAGTAGAGTGTAGAGAATCGTTGGATATCCAAGAAATGGAAGAACTTTGGCGAAGAATTCATTGCTTTTGAACAACACATCGAGGGATATCACAGCAGCTGGGGCAATAAAAACGCAGAAACAATCCAGGAGCACGGCAAAGATGCCCAGGTGTGTGTTGCTTTGAGCTGTGTGAGCACTGAAAAGCTTGAATTTACAGGAATAAATGATTCGGTGGTTTCAAAAAAATTATAACTTCAGTAACTGATGTCTTACCGAAGCATACCGCCAGCAAGTTCTGATACGCCTCCGATGAACCTATAAAATAGTTGAGGAGAAAGCAAAATCCGCATACGATAAATCCACCAATCGCAACGCGACTGACGTATTTATTGAGCAAATTTTCTGCGGTCCGCTTCTGGAGGGCATGACGGAGAAGAGTTAGAAGAGCCAGCAGTGGTGTGCCGATGAAAGCGCGCGGAGAAGCGTTGTTGACAACGGCTAAGGTCCTCTCGATCGTCATTTAAATCGGTTGACTTGAAAGACCGTCGCTTTGTATGACTCCTTCGCCAGCAAGATTGAGAGAAAGAATTGCGGCGAGGAAGCCAGTAGGATTCTGAAAAAAACATACCGTAAAACCAGTAATAGAAGGACCTTCAGATTGTCAAGTTTGAGCTTAATTGTCTCGGTTCCTGTGAAAGATATCAAAAAAGTGTCAACTGATAAAATATTTCTGATATGATGATAAACAATTTATCAGTTGACAACTTTTTCATATCTTTGACAAAAACCGAAATATATCGGCTTATTGTTAAATTTTTGTGTTAAGTCCTTAAGATCCGGCATTCTGGCCGGTTCAAGGAATACGAATAGTAGTTATAGAAAACAGATTTATTCAGGTACTAAAGATGTACGAGAATAGAGGGGGAAAAATAGAGAAGGCTGGGAGAGACTAGGACAGACCGAGAATGGTTGTCAGCCCCAAAGAAAGAGGGGTTCTGACCAATGAAACAACTAAGAAGAAGAGTGCCAGAGAAGGGCGCTCTTCTTACCGATGCCCCAGATGTTCTCAATGGGGTTTAGATCCGGACTGCATACTGGCCATTCGAGCACCTTGATTCGTTTCGAGACGAACCAGTTCCTCGTGGAGGTGCTCGTGTGGATAGATGCGTTGTCCTGTTGGAACGTGTGGGTGTGGCGTCTGTTGCGGAAGAACGGAGCCACGGCCTTTTGGAGAGTTGCTTGGTACGTGGCAGGATTCTCCTTCGTGGTGATGAATTGCAGTTCGAGTTTTTTTCCATTGCAAAAAGCGCTCCAAATCATAACAGAGCCGCCGCCAAAGTTGTGCCTGGAGAACAGCTGCGGATCTTTTCGGAGATCTCTCCAATAGTTCCTGTTGCCATCAGGACCGTCGAGATTCCACTTCTTTTCATCGGAGAACACGATCTGAATTCATTTTTCTTTTCAAAATTGATTGTTTCAAACTCACGTTCTCCCATTTCGTAGTCAAATGGTTCTTCACGAAATTGAGACGTGCTGCTTTGTGGGCATCAGTCATCTTCGGAACTTTGGCCATCTTCTGACGAACGATGACTCCACTTCTTTTGATGATTCTGCCCACCGTACTTGTGGACTGGCAGTTTGAGTTCGTTCTTCACATCGTTCAGACTTAGGGACCAACTAATATTTTCAGTTACTGTACCTGCACATCAAACTATCGTCACGATCCGAATTACTGTAAAAAAATGCAGCTGGAGATTTACAGAAGGGCCAGAAGTGAAGCTTTATTTCGAAAAAATGAAAAATGAGTTCCTTGCATTGTTGGATGTTCCACACGAAGATGTTGAAAGAAAGTTGCGAGAAACATCTTCAGAAAAAGCTTAAAACAATGAAAAACGTAAATAAAACAATTTAGAGTAGATAAAATGGTCAAAAAACGACCTGTGCACCCAAAACATCTGGGGGTCCTATAGTTATGCGACGGTCGAAAATGGACCTTTTTCTTGCCGTGAGGGTATGGAAAATGGTAGGGTTCTGAAAATTTGGTTCCTAGGGTTATTTTTGATTCTGAATCCAACTGCATCCACAGATTTTTCTTATTTACTCTAGTTTTTGCTGTACACCCCAAATTAAAGGGTGTCCTATAGTTATGCGACGCACTGTATTAGAGGAAATACGGTAGCCTCTATAACTTGCAATCACATGGAACCAACTAAGACTTCATATATTTTTCTCCGGTTTTAAGATTCGAACGTCTTAGTGAAGCCAGGAGATTGTAGCCGCCGACAGGCGGCGGAAATCAACTAGTCGTAAAATCATACTAAACCCGCGAGAGAGCTTGAAAAAAAAAATCTGGAAACTGTTCATGAATTCGGGATTTTGGAATTTAGAATTGTAGAATGATCATTTCGAGTTTTCCAAAACGCTGAATTTCAGGATTCTTAACTTCAGAGAAGCCCATCCTGAGAAAGAAGTCGAAAAATAAAAGCCCATGGGCTTCTATTAGAGGAAATACGGTATATATATATACAGCGCGACCGATAATACGACCCTATGTTTTGATCGCACAGAAAAAAAACTCGAATAGATATCAAAAAACAGTAAACGCCATTTGATTCACAATCAAAAATAACCCCAGGAGACATAGTTTCATAGTTTTATCATTTTTCTTGACCGCGTACCATCCGAAAAACCAATATGCAATCGGTCAATATCTATACGACCACCTGGAAAATAAAACATCTCAAGTTTTCTAGAGAGCGAAATTGAACTTTTTTTGTTGGAATCTGTTGAAATAGTTCTAGAACAACATATTCTGACCGTTTATGCAAAAATTAATTCCTCTCTTCAAGTTTTACAAAAAATTATTTGAGACATTTTCATCAATTTTTGGGTTTTTGGAATAAATCTTGAATAATTTGGCTCCTGGGTAAGATTTTGACCTGAAATTTATAGGGAATGTTTTAGGAGTGATCATGACCATATTGCAAGTGTTCAAGGCTTTTTTGAGCTTTGGAAACTTAAAATTGAGCTCGAGCTTTGAACTGAAAAAATAAAAACCCAATTGAAATTTTTTCAAAGCTGTCAAAACGTTTGTAAGATGTGATTGAAATCGCAATCAAAGTTATTATTCTGCACTAAAAATTAGATTTCAATCGTAAAATCAAGGTTTTTGACAAAAACCAGAGTCACCTATCAAGTTCAATTTTTCAAATTTCAGTTCAGCCTCAATCACAAACAACGCCTCAGAATATCATGACAACAGTTAGTAAATATTGCAGGCTACTGCAAAAGTAATTTCTTTCATTTTCAGGTCAAAATCTTACCCAGGAGCCAAATTATTCAAGATTTATTCCAAAAACCCAAAAAATGATGAAAATGTCTGAAAATAATCTTTTCTAAAACTTGAAGAGAGGAATCAATTTTTGCATAAACGGCAAAATATGTTGTTTTAGGACTATTTCAACAGATTCCAACAAAAAAGTTCAAATTTGCTCTCTGTAGAAAACTTGAGATGTTTCATTTTCCAGGTTGTCGTATAGATATTGACCGCTTGCATATTGGTTTTTCGGATGGTACGCGATCAAGAAAAATGATAAAAATATGAAACTTTATCTCCTAGGGTTATTTTTGATTGTGAATCGAATGGCCTTTACTGCTTCTTGATATCTCTTCAAGTTTTTTCTGTACGCTCATAGGCTTCTATTTTTTCCATGGGCTTCTATTTTTCGACTTCTTTCTCAGGGTGGGCTACTCTTAGAGGTGGGCTTCGACTAGATGGTGGGTTTCTATCTTTCAATGTTTTATTTACAAAAAAATTTTTATTCTAAAATACAGAAATTTGACAATTCGGAAGTTAAGAACCCTGAAATTCAGTATAGATATTATAGATATTATTATAGATATCGTATAGATATTGACCGCACTGTAGTCATTCCTATTAAAAACTATTCTTTCAAAGGAATTACTCTCTTCATTCTTTCAAAACCTGCTTGTTAAATGAATAGTCTTCAAAATGGGACGATAAGTTCCAGATGTTCAGAGTTTACTGAAAAATTAGAAACTGTGCCTATAGTTTTCCATATGTTGTTCAGACCTGGATTCATTCCGACGTACATTTCAACATTCCGAAATTTTGATTGATTATCGGTATATTAGTGTTTCTGTGGCAGATGATGCCTTGAGATACAGTAGACGCGTGCTTTCCGCCCCCCTTCTCTCTTGGTCTTTTTCTCTCCCTCTATTTTTACACACTTCTCCCTGAAGCATTATTGATTTTACTCTACCATTTTAAATATTCTTAGAAATGTCAGAAAATCGTATTGCCCCTTTTTTTTCCTCTGAAAAGACTATGTCATGTTCTATTTTTATTCTCTCAGTCGCGACTTCAGATAATTTAGAAGAAACACTTTATATTTATGGAGGTTTATATTTCGCCTATAGATGTTTGAATATAGGAAAAACAATGTGTTATGAAGGAGAACTTCAGCCTAATAAATACTACATTAATCACGTCAAACTCTTATCCATTGGAGGGATGGTCCATTCGGTTATTCAGCTATATTTGAAATTGTATTTGGATTTTCAGCTATGGGTGAGTTTTTCCAAGGTTTACTCATCGATCCTAAAAACCATCGATCTTATTTCAGTCCCATTACATCGTTCTCTGTGCAACCATTGCATGCTACACAGCGTTTTTCATTCATCAGACATGGAAAATAATTGACTTTTGTGCTACAGATCGGGGTATCATGTATTTTTTTTCTACTGGCACTCTGCTTCTCTCCGCTACCTCTTTTTCCAAAACATTTGGTAAGTCCTCTTCAAAAATATTTTGATTTGACATTCAAGTGTCATTCTATATTTCTAACTTCTTCTTTGAATTGAATATTGTTTTTCAGAAGCTCGTTGGAGTGGATGTTGTATGTTTACTCTGCAGTCTAACCGATTGGTGTTTTGCTCATAATTATCTTTGTATAAACTATAATTTAATCAGCAGAAAAAAAAAATCAATCAGGGTCTACTGTATGTTCACTATGATCCTCTTACGATGAGCACAACGTATAAAGGAGTTTGATTTTTTATACTATGTATCAAATGATATCTTACCTATTTATTCGAAAACAAAAGTTCTAATGATCGAACGGCTCGATCTCCTTTTTTTCTTGTCATGTAATTTTTGTTCGCCATCACAATCAATCGTTGTTGTCATAATAATATGATTTCATTGTTTCCCTCAATAAACTTTTCTTTGACACTCTGAAATACAGCTATGGTACAAAATTAGGACAGTGGGGAAGTATAAGAAACTGTTTTCTTACGAATACGATCAATTCAAAGTTTGAAAAATTAGAAAATGTAAATAACAGATATGTCCTTTTTAGTAGTATTCTCCTGACGTTCAAGTGGCGAGTCAGCGGCTAACCATCTGCTCGTCCACTCTTCTGGGACGTATTGCGCACGGGCCGTTCGACAGCCTTGATGTTAAAGGCAGCCGGTATATTCTGGTGCAGATGGTGTTTTTGTGCGGGGACATTTTTTGCGGACTCCTTCTCTCTTTTCATAATTGATTTCTCCGAGTTTAGTGGGATTGAAATTAAAGAGAGTTTTAACCAGATGCTTACAACGATGCATAGTTTTACAATCTTCGTTTTTGAACTTCGAATTTTGCTTTAAAAATTCAGTAATCTCTAAACCGACATACAAATATAAATAAAGCAGCTGAAAGTGCGTTGAGGAGGAAATTTTGCCAAGAAGTGACCATTTTTCGAACTCTAAAAACAGGACCCTTATCCAAGAATTTTTCATGAAACTTGCCAAACCTTCATACGTTTTAGACGCTTGTGAAAAAATTCTGGAAAGTCTGAAAACCCGAAGCAAATTGGACCAAGACGAGTCTGATTTCAGCCCTACCCGCTTTAAAACCAAATGATCAATTTGGACTTGACTCATTTATGTATGTACAAGCCAGTTTCAGATATTTCATAATCTAAATAATTTCTAAACATCATCTGCAATAATCTTCCGGTTCGGTACACTATCGGTGCTGCCACCATTATTTGCAGCCCCCGCATAATCCCTTTGAAATCTGCATGCATCACCCTTTTGATGATTTTTCCATTTTACCTTTTCTCTGTCTTTTTTGTGATTCCGTCACAAGATAAAAAGAATTCGTCATCATTCATCATTAATCCATTCATACCAAATACGGTTTTTCGGGTTTTGTGTTGTTGAAAAACGGGGAAAGTATATAAGTTGAGAGGGCTTTGCGCCGACGATGCATCAGTTTTCAAACATGTTCAATCGATTCGTTATTCTATTTAGTTTCCTTATTTTCTTTGCAGTCGCTGCTCCAGCACCAACTACAGGTAATTCAATTATTTCAGACTGACGTCATCTGAATATTTTTAAGAACGTGAAACATTTGATGAACTAAGACTATCTGGAATGTCTGAGAAGGGAATCCTTGCTCTTCATAATCTCGCGGTCAAGTTCAAGTACGAATACGCAAAAGTTGCAAGGAGTAAGAAGGCAACAGATAAGCTGATGGCAGACTTCACCATTATTGGGAAGGGTGTCGTTAACTCAATGTCACAGGAAGATCAAGAAGTTTATAATAGTTATGTTGAAAAGTATGGGCTATCATAGTATGGTCTTGGAGAGTCCTCTAGCCATTGCTCATTTTCATACCTCTTGTTATTTGTAATAATTGTCTTTAATTTCGATCTGCCTTTTCATGATTACGGTTTTGATTGCATACTGCGTCTTAATAAACATATTTTCAAATTTCTGTGTTCTTCATTTTCCAAATAGTTTTGAAATATCACACAACACAAAAACGCGTCTCTTCCCTTCGAAATGTCGGCTGCTTGTAATGTCACTGGTATATAAGCCACCTCGATTCTCTTCATTTTCGCTTCGGTCCGGAGTTGATGGGTTATCGTACTTTTCACTACATCCGGTTTCCTTGTCAAACCAATACCGTTCTCTCGGGAACAAAACCTTTTCTCGTGTTCTGTTGAAGAACACAAGACCCTTCCCATCAACACCAACTTTACTGAAGTTTTGTTTATGAATTTGGAGCCGTTTGATCAAACTTCTGGTGATACACATAAAATTATCAATAACAAACCCAAAAATTACAGAGCCTTTTTTACTTGTGATACCAAACACAATTGGTTCCGAAGTTTTCGTTATTATTTATTATTTTTAAGTTGCTGATTCAGGGATTCAGTGATATACTCAAATTACAGCAACAATATTTTTTGCAGGAAAAGGAACGACTAATAATGATCAGAGGCCGTACTCATGAACATTTACCTTGGTAAATCATTTACACATAAAAAATCAACTGAATTATTTACCATTTATTTCGAAAACATTTACCGTAAAACCTCTAATAGAACGACACCCGGATCGTCCACTTTGAGCCTATATATCTCACTTCTTTTGAAAGATATCAAACAGTGATTAACTAGTAAAATGTTTATCAGGATATCAGCAACATTTTATTAGTTAGCCACTTTTTGATATCTTTCACAGAAAATGAGATATATAGGCTCAAAGTGGACGATCCGGGTGTCGTTCTATTAGAGGTTTTACGGTATTTCATTTTGTAAATTTTTTGATCATTTTCAGGCATGGATTTGATGTAATTCTCAGCCTCAATTCAATATTTGACGATCAGTTGCTTCTTTGTCAGATTAGAAAACTGGTAAAGATGCAATGCAATAAAGATAAATGCAACTACAGAAAAGAACAACCACTGAGAACTATGAAATCACAAAATTCGTACTTTGACTCTATGGCAGATGTATCGTATTAGAGGGGTTGTAAAAAAGGGAAATTTGGGAAAATTCAAAATATCCCAAAATACAATATCTGTAATTTATAAAATCTGCGAGTTTTTTTTAAATTTCAAAATTTTCAGAACCAAAACAATTCATATAAATTGTTAATAATTTTTTTGCTGAAATTTAATATTAGCATCTTTATTTTCGAAAGTTAAAAAAAAAGGCATAAATCACAGTTTAATTTTTTCTAATCCTGAATAATTGCTCCTTGGGGAACATTTCCAATTTCAATACATGTGAACCAAATCTGAACTTTAAACACCACACATTGATATGTAATTTTCAGAATTTTTGAGTTTTTCATTTGAAAAAACCAGAATCGAGAATATTGACATTCAAATGGAGCTCCCCATGCTGTTGACAAACTCTCCCGTTCTTCAAAATGTGTCGATGTAAGGTGGGAAAGTTCGAAATCTGGAGAACTGATATAAAACTGAAATACAATTAATTATAGAAATAAATTTCAAAATCAAAGCGAACTTCTTTCAAAACATTCAATTTCTCTACTGAAATCGATTCAAAGTGCAAACCGGATGTTGAAAAATGACGAAAATGTTCCAAATCAACGTTTGTCGCACTGAATCCAAAATATATTTCCCTTGAATGTTTCCATTGCTCAATTCCAAAAACTTGGTCCATTTCCAAATTGATTGCAAAATGAAGAAGTGGATTAACAGGTAAAATACGGATTCCTTCAAGAATTTTCGAATCAATTAATGACAAAATTGTCAAAAATTGAGATTCGTGTGTTCCCGAAATTCTCAATCGTTTAGTTTGGAATTTTTGATTTAGAGATTTCAAAATATTGCTCATCTTATGAAATGTAATTGAGTCTCGTGAACTGTTAAAGCTGAATGTTAAATCTTTTAAAATCGATTTTTGAGATTTCAAAACAAATTTTAAATTTTCAAGAATTCGATTCACTTCAAGATCTTCTTTTTCAGAGCAGTTCTTGTTGTTTTCAAAGTATTTCAAGCACATTCCTTGAGAAATCTGAAAAAAATAAGTTAAAAGTATAATTTCAATTTTTTAAAAATCTCACCAAATCGAAAAACCCAGGTTTTTCTTTTTCAAAATATCTTTCAATTTCAATTTCTGATCCAAAACTCCAAATAAAAGTGAGCCGAATCGTTTCTTCATTTTTCAGGAATATATGAATTTTTTTGAATTTCGAATCCGGCAATTTTGATTTCTTCAAATCGTCTATAAAACTTCGAAAATCTTTACAAACTTGGCGAAGAGTATATCTGAAAATTTCCAATTTTTGATTCAGAAGTTTTCAAAGTACCCACACTGCTTGAAAATTCAAAAATCCTATAATAGTCTCCAATACAAGCTCCGGCATTTCAATAATTGAAGACATTTTTGAAAATAGAGAGAAAATAGATTCAAAAAAAGTTTCTTATCACCAATATGATTTCATTTTTCCTCTTTTTCTCAGCGTCTCTTTGATTTTTTTAGAAATCACAGGTGTTGACAAATTTCCCAATCAATTTTTTATCTTTTCTATATTTTCAAAAAATGGTTTCGATTATTGAAATGCCGGAGCTTGTATTAGAACATATTATAGGATTTTTGGATTTTCGAGCAGTGTGAGTTCTTTGAAAACTTCTGAATCAAAAATTGGAAATTTTCAGATATACCCTTCGCCAAGTTTGTATAGATTTTCGAAATTTTATAGACAATTTGAAGAAATCGATATTGCCGGATTCAAACTTCCGAAGAATTACAGTATTCATCGGAAACTGAGAAATCATTCAACTCACTTTTATGCGGAATAATGGATCTCAAATTGAAATTTATAGATATTTTGAAAAAGAAAAAACTAGTTTTTTCGATTTTGTGAGATTTCAAAAGATTGAAATTATTCTTTTTTCTTCAGATTTCTCGAAGAATGTGTTTGAAACATTTTGGAAACAACAAGAACTGCTCTAAAAAAGAAGATCTCAAGATGGATTTAGTGCTTGAAGATTTTAAATTCGTTCTGAAATCTCAAAAATCGATTTTACAAGGTTTAACATTCGAATTTCACATTTCACAAGATTCGATTGTTTTCTTTAAGTTAATCCATATTTTAAAATCTCTGAACCAAAAATTCCAAACTAGAATGCTGACAATTCTGGGAACACAAGAATCTCACTTTTCGTCAATTTTGCCATTATTGATTCAGAAAATCTTCAAGCAGCCCGTATTGTACCTGTTGATCCAGTTCTTCATTTTGCAATTAATTCGGAAATGGACCAAGTTTTTGAAACATTGCATTGGAAAAATTCGAACAAATTTTATTTTGGATACATTCCGAGTCCGACGTACACAGTTGTGGATAGTTTATGTGATTTTTCACCATTTGAGTTGCATTTTGAGTCAGTTTCAGCAGACAATTTGAATTCTTTGAAACAAGTTAGTTTCAAATTTGAAAATTATTTATTATGAGTTTTATTTCAGTTTTTGCTCAATTCTCCAAAGATCAAATTTTTTCACCTAACAGTGAGACATTTTGAAGGAACTGAACATTTCTCAAGTTTATGGGGAGCTCCATATGAATTCGAAAATTCCCACAACTGGTTTTTCCGAATAAAAAACTCGAAAATTCTGAAAATTTCATGTCGGCATGGTGTGGTGTTTTCGATCTGGTTCACATATATTGAAGTCGGAACCGTTCCTCAAGGAGCATTAATTCGGGGCTGAAACAATGAAAACTATTATGTCTGTTTTTTTTGTAAACAATGAAACTTATATGTTATTTTGTAAAGACGCAGAGACCCTTTTTGTTTGGAAATAAAATAAAAATGTTCGGAACAGAAAATATTGCTAATAGTAAATTTTTGCAAAACGAAACAGTCGAAACAATGAGGAATTTTCCAAATAAAAAGAAGAAGGTGTATTGCTGATAAGAACATTTCATTGCCTTTTTCCATTTTCGAATCCTCACATTTCTATTTTTCTTGTAAAAAATGACGAATATACTTGCAATGCCGGAGTTGGTATTAGAAAAAGTTCTAAAAAACCTAAATTTCAAATCTGTGTATGTTTTCATTTTTGTCAAATTTATTCAATAATTCTCAATTTCCAGTTTGACCCTTCGCCATGTCTGTCGAGATCTCAGAAATTATATAGACGATTCGAACCACTCAAAATTGCCGGATTCGAACTTTTCAAAAATTGAAATTTATTTTGAAACCGGTTCTATAATCAAATGGGATTTCGAATATCGAAATTGATCAAATGAAAAATTTTTGTGGAAAATTCCAGAAAATTCGAATGTTGCGGATATCGCAATTCAGAATCTGGCACTTGTTCTGAAATTTCAGAAATATGCTTTAAGACGTCTATTTTTTCATTTCAACGTTCATCCGGATTCAAAAGTTATGCGGAGCAATAGATTGCTCATTCAAAAAATCCAAGCGAGAATTGTGAAAATTCATGCATTAGTGCAATCTCAAATTATGTCAATTTTGCCTTGTCTGGACTCGGAAATTCTCGAACACATTTTGTTTTGGGAACCTGCGATTCATTTCAATAGGGATCATTACAAAGAAATGGAAATCAACGAAATTGTGGAAACTGAGCAATGGAAAAATGCGAAAGACTTCTCATGCTTTGGTTTCGAAGTGATATTCAATATCGAACATTTTTGTCATTTTTCGAAGGTTCATTTGGAAATTTTAGCCATTTCTTCAGACGAATTTGTGTTTTTGAAAGAGGCGAGGTTTTTTTGGAAACCCCTTCACATTCAAATTTTCAGATCTTGCTGAATGCTCCGAAGTTCAAACATTTCACATTTAATGTTCAATTTTTCGAAGAAGAACACATTTTCATTTTTTGGGGTCAACCATTTACAACTAATTATAAACGTTATTTTTTCGGAAAATCGAATGGGGAAGTTTTGGATATTACGTACATGAAGGTGAATGATCATCACTGGCATTTTGACATTTCTTGTCAAAAGATGAGCAATGTTCCAAACGGAGCAGTCGTTTTGAACTCTTAATTTTATTTTCTATACTTAATTCAAAAAATTGAATGTTTCATATGATTACATTATTTGTTTGAATTAGTGGAAACCAGACAATGAAATAAATGTTTAAAATGTGTTCTTTGGGATATCACAGTTTTGGTGTTTACAGATTCCGATTTTTCAAGAAATTAGTAAAAAAATTAAGCAATTCATAAAAAAAGATCAGTTTTCGTTATAATCATGTATAATTGCTGCATTCGGAACATCATTCAATTTAACATTTTTAAAATGGAAAATATTTTCCCGTAATTCCACTTCCAGAATTTTTTCATCTGAATCCTTGATTCGGAAATACCATAGACTTGAGAGTTCGTCAATAAACCTGGACCCCAAATATTCGAAAGTTCCTCGTTTTCATTGAAATTTCTTATTTTGAACCTTGAATACCCAAAGTCTGAAGGAGTGATGAAAGTCTGAGAAATGTTTCATAACGAAAAAAACTATATTCAAAATTGGAAACCTTATTCAAGAAGTCTAAGTCTCGAGAAGAAACTGAAAGCAGTTTTCCATAAAACGTCATATTCTGTCATATTCAATGCATAAAAATCACAATGAATTTTCTTGGCCTTTTTTTGCTCGGTTTTAACAATTTCATCGATTCCAATTTGTATTTCAGTATCCATTGGGTGTAAATAAAAATCTTCCAGAGTTTCCGAATCAAAGAATGGTAAAATTGACATAAATCCAGACTGACTGTTAGAAGTGATAAATAATGATTGGGTTTTGATTTTTCGATTTAGCTTATTGAACATGTTGCTCAGTTTAACTGACAAATTTGAAATTTGAAAGGTGTTGAAATTAAAAATTTCGAAGTAGACTTTTGAAACTTCAACTTGTTCGAGATCTCGAATCGCCACATCCACAATATTCGAACTTTCCAGGGATGTGGTTCTTCCATTGAAAATTCTAGAATTGTCGCTCTCCGAATAAGTAAACTTGTTCTGAGAATTGTTTGAATCTTTATATCTCAGATACCGTAAAACCTCTAATAGAACGACACCCGGATCGTCCACTTTGAGCCTATATATCTCACTTCTTTTGAAAGATATCAAAAAGTGGTTAACTAGTAAAATGTTTATCAGGATATCAGCAACATTTTACTAGTTAGCCACTTTTTGATATCTTTCACAGAAAATGAGATATATAGGCTCAAAGTGGACGATCCGGGTGTCGTTCTATTAGAGGTTTTACGGTAGACTACGAATAAAGCTCAACCTTTAAAAAAACAATGATTAAATAATTTCATCATAAGATTCTCGGTTCAACAAACAACAAAAATAACGACGAAATTAGTTTTAGGTGGACAGTAGAGTTATAAAAAAGAAAATAAAAAGCGGAAACATGTGTGTGTGTGTGAGAGTTTTGGGTAAGAGGCAGTCGGTGTCTAGTTTTTGCGCGAATTCTCACCTAAAGTGAGAAATTTGAGAAGCGAGCTAGAAAAAAGAAAACTGCCAGCATGTTTCGAAACCAGACACGATATATTTTCTGGAGGTAATAACGTTAAGAAGGGGTTTGATGGGGGTTCGGAGAGAAAAGAGGTGAACTTAAAACAGAAAACGGGGAATTTAATCGTCTCTGCGCACATTAGAAAATTGTCAGGATAAAATAAGATTGCGATGATGAAAGTGATCATTTACAGCGGGGTTTCTTAAAGTGGGGAAGAGCACCAAATAGCACTTGACACGTGTTTGAATGAGGAGAAGATGTACGACACAAACAGCCTTATGGCATTACTGAACTGTGCAGCATCCGCGCATGAATCTGACTTGTCGGCGACGAATGGCTCCAGACTGTGATTTAAAGAATAGACATAAAAAAACA